AATTGGAAAAACAAGATAAGTGGCTTTAAGTTTATCTATATATTTTCTTTGATTTGTCTCTTGTGGCTACCTATTGTGCTCTAGGCTCTACGTGGCCTTTTCGTACTTGAAACTTAAAACTAATTGGGTATATATTTTAACATTAAACAAATCTTTCATTTAAGATAAAATATATGTAATCGTCAAATTGACTGTTGCAACACCATCAGTACCATGTCACCATGGCAATTGGCAACTTTGACAAATATTTTGTTCCTCAATTACCCTTGATGAAGTATCTAAAGAATAATAGTCACAGCAAAACAGAATCCAGGGCTAATTACGATTTAAATAATGTGAGTGGACGTTATCTTGACTGATGGAAAGGATGCAGTCGAGGCCAATATAAATAGCCAATTAATCAATCTGAAATATGTCAAGGCATTCATAGGACAATTGAAGGATTTACTGCAACAACGTTGATGCAAACAAAACCTTAAAAGGAGAGAATATCTAATCTCCATCACTTAATTTATTAATTTAATTAGTAGCACCCTTTTCACACACATGTATCCGGGAGTTATGGGGAGTTACTGTTACCGGAATAACACGACTGAGGATGGCTGGAGAAAGGGCCCTTGGACTGCTGAAGAAGACAAACTGCTTATCCAATATGTCAACAACTACGGTGAAGGAAGATGGAATAATGTCGCCAGGTTTGCAGGTATTTTTTATTTTTTCAAATTTAACAAGTTACAATTTATGAACACACAGAGAAGGATTACACTTGTTTTGTCCTTGTCGTCGACGCTTCTTTTCTATTATAACTTTGATATTTTTAGAGGGAAGAAAAAAAAACAAAAAGAAAAGGATTACTTTGTGATTAATTTAAAAGTATGTAAGTGACATTTGATTTCTTGGTTGCACTGACAGGGCTGAAAAGGAATGGTAAAAGCTGTAGATTGAGATGGGTTAACTACTTGAGGCCAGACCTCAAGAAGGGGCAAATTACCCCAAGTGAAGAAAAAATAATCGTCGAGCTGCATGCTAAATGGGGCAACAGGTACTAAATATTTCAGTTTCCAAACATTTAATTTTAACCCATGAAAGAGATGAATTATCATATATAAATCAGTTAATCTGCACATAATTTTTTTTTTAAAAGAAAAATAAATATTAATGATGACTATTTTTTCGGCCATAGATGGTCGCAAATTGCAAAATGCCTGAAAGGAAGAACAGACAACGAGATCAAGAACTACTGGAGGACTCATTTCAAGAAAAAGTCCAAATCGCCCTCGGACAACCCTGAGAAGGTCAAGGCAAGGCTGCTCAAAAGGCAGCAATTTCAGCTGCAACAGCAACAAATGCATGAAAAAGGGCAATGCAACATGGGAAATTTCACGTCATGGGTCGACGAAAGCAGCAACTGGCTGGCAAATGACAATCAACAAACAGAGTTTCCAAATGCGAATGAGATAATCAATAATTGCGCAACTCTGGCTGAGGATATTACATGGGATGATGGATTGTGGGATTTTAGCGATTTGCTAGGGAGCATCAACGAAAATGATGATTTCCAGCAGAATTTTGGCACAACTAACTACTGAGCTATTATCAGTACAACTTCAATTATAGGATTATCGGCCTATTATATATAGGATTAATCGGTACCTAGCTTCTATAGTTTCTAGTAGTAACAAAAGAAGATTCTCAGTTTAAAGTTTAATGATGATTGTTATTACTGATGGGAGTTTTTCTTCCCTAGCTATTAACTCTATTGTCTTTCAAGACTTTGTAGCATGACCTTGTTACATAAGCTTAAGTGTTAGTCAACAAATTACCCAGAGTTAAGAAAGTGGGGTTTTCTGTAATTAGGATATAAGTGTGTTTTCAACAAAGTAGTCAAACCAGTTATTTGACTATATATATATTGTTCCTTTTTCTTACATTCTTTAATGTTTAGGCACATAATACATTAATGACAATGCATTATATTATAATTTTATACAATAGTGAACACATCTTTTATACTTGATGAGTCCGGCATCAAAACAATAACAGAATTTGTCCACCTTCGAAATAAATTTACCTAAGTTTGTCCAAACATTAACCTAACCCATAAAGGGCTTGTCTTAGCTAGAAAATATTTTGGATATTTTTAGATCCAGCTCAATGCAGCGGGGCATGCATGATAATATTATACTTTATCGTAAGATATTGGACTGATAACGTAATTCATAATGATAGAACAGATATTAAAAATCAATAGCAAATGAGCATTCTTAAAGACACTTATGGAAAGCCTCGTACTATGATTTAGTAATTATACAAAACTTGATATAAAATGCACCCCTCTCCTTATATTATTAGTCTTTACTCTTACCTACGCTGCCTACCGGGGAATCCATTTTAATTCAGCCAATGATCATTGAATGGAAAATTATCTATTCTGCCAAATTGATTTCTCGACTGGCTTACCGTATTGGCAAAATCTAAATTGTTTATTTTATTAATATTGTTATAATATAATAAGAAGAGTAATGAATGTTTGACAAGAATATATTTTCCCTAATCTAATTTGTAAAACAAGTAATACGGCAGTTGGCAATGCTCAGCCATGTCTGATAGGTAATTTAATTTCTATATGAACAGAAGGGAGCAGGTGCTAATCAGTTAATCACTTGGTTTACAGATGAATGTTCCATCCCATTGACCAGCACATGCCTGCCACAGCTTTCACTAAACATAGGAGATACCCCTTATTATAAAATAATAATATTATTGAAAAAAAAAATCTCCATGGTCTATAATTAACAAAAGTACAACTGCATCAAATTAATAAATCACTCTTATATATAATTCCCGAATGTGTTGATCTTATGTGGCAGACTCGCATGCTTTGGGATCCTATGTGGCAAAAATTTATGCTTCATTATTTCGCTTGGATATATTTTACTCCCTCTGTTTCGTTTTAAATGTCGTTGTAGGGTGTCAACTTTTTTGCAAATTAATTGTCGTTGGAAATATTATATTCATTCTTACATCTTTATTCTCTTTAACAAACATTATCTCTTATCATTATCTTTAAAAACCACCCATTAATAATTCAAAAACTAAATTTAATAAGATTAAAAAATAAGATTATTACACAACTCATTAAAATCGTAATTTAGAAGTTTTAAATTAAAACGACATTTAATAAGATACGGAGGGAGTAATTTACGTCCAGTTCAAAAATAATTAGGTTCGAATTATCTATAACTATGTTGATTATTTATGATCATTTTACATGTATTAATTGCATTTTAATATCATTTCTTATTATAACAAGTGAATTGTAAATGTATTTTAAAAGTTAATAACTTTTATATTTTTTATCAGCTTTACCTATATAATATATCAAATTAATCATCTTTTGATTAGCTTCGATTTGACATCCATATTATATTTATAGATAAATAAATTATATTTATCATTTTAAAATTTTTTATTAATTTAATTAGAAAATTAAAATTACTTATTAATTAATATATTTATGTTTAAAGTAGTTATAGGATATAAGTTAGAAAAATTATTATAATATAACACATGTAATTCGTACAAGTAACAATTGTCATTCTAAATATATATTTTTTGTAAAAAAAATATTTAAATCTTAAAACACTTTCCTCATTAATTTAAAAATTTAAAGATAATTTATTTAACAAGCATCCGTGTAATACACGGTGTTGTACTAGTAACAATATATTCCAAAAACCTGCTCGTATCCGTTAATGTGCTAGTATGTTATTTGTTGTCAATTTTCTTTCTTCTTTATTTTAGGAGCACATTTGAGGATCAATATAGTTCAAATTGTGTTTGAAAAGATTGATCTCTTGCAGATTACAGGAAAATATTTTTGGGACCCAACTCAATTATTTTTAATTTCCTCAACAATCCAATCCAAAATATCTAAAATCTTCAAAATATAACTATTGAAATATTACTGTATCCTTGAACAATTAAATTGTCAGAAAAAGTGTTAGAACCTTGAATGAGTACAGACTGTTGATATTTCCTGTTCACAAGGTGAAAAGTTGATGAAAGGCTAGGATTGATCTAAATTTACCAATTGCACCCAATTCTCAACTGCAGACGATCCGCCTCCAAAAAGATGTAATAAACGTACACCTCTATCAACCCCACTTTACCTTTCTATTAAGTCTATAATGATCTTCCGCAAACTTGTGACCCAAGTCTCTTTTGGCGAAGAAGGAATCAAAACCACCAATGACCATATATTTTCCTTCTTTGTCAAGCTTAGGCAGAGATAACTGACTCTATAGTAGAATTCAAATTCAGGAGACACTACTTTTGATCAAAAAAAGCCCTTTCCCCTGCTAACAACTAATTTTTAATATCTGAAGGGCACAACTTAAAATGCTAAACTAATCCAGCCAGCTGAACATGATAGTGAAGCCAGCCCTCTTGGTAAATTTATCCAACCTCATCCTAACATAAGTTGAGAATATATTACCTAACTATATGGTACGGCCACGAAATGTATCCAGATACAAGAGGGATCAGAGCTTACACAAAGTCCCGTTATGTGAGGCAGCATCGTCATTTGTGAGAATAAGGATAAAGGCTGAAATCTTTTTCCAGGAGTTTGTGAACTTCAACAAGAGAGGATACTTTGTAATCTGGCTTATACTCCACATTTTTGTACGGTGGCGAATCGTACCTTCCAGTTTCATCAAGCAAGCATGTAAAAGCTCCTGCCCCCTTCCCACAGGCCACCTGTGCGAAGATCACAAATAAGAGGAAATGAGGAACAACTTATTGACTCAGTTTGATAATAACAAACGAAGAAAAAATAAATACGCATGTGATTACAAAACCTACCTTTAGAGTTGAAAAAAAAAAATATATATATATATATATAATATAGATTCAAATGAAAATGGTTGTCAGAAAGAAATAAGTATGCATTTTAGTGAAAGCTGCCAGTTGTATTAATCCTCTCGCAGCTGCCAGTTATATTTCTGGTTATTAATCCTCTCCTGGAAAGTTGTATTGACAAGAGAAATTAACAATTCCATGATCTATCCCTACCAAATATAAAGATTGACTATAAAAATCTTCATCAAATAACATCAGAAAGAATAATGCAAAGCCAAGTTTGCTGACTAGTAGATCCCATAAACAATACAAGAAAGAAAAAAAAAAAGTCATATAGAATACAGCTAGAGATACAAGAAACAATAAAAATTCAAAGCCCAGTACATGTTACTAGTAGATCTCATGACAAGAAGAAAACAAAAGCCATAAAGAATACAGCCAACATACAAGTTGTTGTGTAAGCTACAGAAACAAGAAGATAATGTTAAACTAAGCTTGATTATATACTGAAATATTACCTAAAGTTCATTGAATCAAGAAACTCACAGTTCAGAAGCACCTGCAGCAAAATCGAAATGAACTGAAACAATAATTAGAAGTCTTCAGAGCCAAATAATAACACCCATCAAGTTTTTGAAATGTTGTGATAGAGATTGGGAAAGTGAATAATGGGAAGGAAAGCAAGAATGCGTGGAAGACTATCAAATAAATAACGCAATACTGCTTCTTTACTAATGGAAGCAGCATGGTTGGCGGACTTCTGCCAAACCGCAATGCTAAATTACCATGTGTATAACACAGATGATAGGACTTGGGGGAAGAAAAGAAAAGAGATTAAACTTTTTGTTCTCATTTAATTCCAGATTTCATCCAATAAAAGAATTGTGAAGTAAAACTGGTAGTTTAAGATTATTTGAAAGTCTAAAGATAAAAGGTAATTGGTTGACTGCTTATGATATTGAAACTTAATCATTTAGTATATTTCATACCACTCCTCTTCTTCATTCAGGGGAACTCAATATTTTGGAAACACCATTTGAACCCCTTATAAGCAAAAAACTCAATATGAATTGCTAAGTTTTTCAAATCATTCGAAGGACGAGATTTACTAGAACAAAAGACCAAGGTTCATTAATAATACTCCCTTTGTCATAAACGTTCTCCATAAAAAAGGTGAACATTTCATAGAAACTCCTCCTAGACCTTACATTTGAGGGTAAAGCAGTACACACATGCATAATTCCAACTGTTCAACTCAAAAAAAAAAACTCCCAAATATGAAAACGGACTTCCAAACTGAGAGTCTGAGACAGATGGAATGCCAATGAACTCCATTTTGTAACAGTTAGGAAAACCTCCAACTAACATATATCCTTCACGTGAAGATTCTTCTACAATGAGATTCGCCTAATACGACTATCAACCACAATCGTCAAAGCACAAATTTCCACATACATTATGATATAATAAGATAATCCAATTAGTGCTCAAGAGTCGGATGGCGGAGTTAGGATTTTAAAATACCTGGGGCTAATGAAATTGCGTTCTCCGATTCTTTTTCTATTCAAACTCGGCGATTATAGAATCATTACTAATCTTTTCGACTAACTCTCTTTCAATGTAAATAATCATGGAATCCGCCAAAAACTCTTCTTCCATCTTATTCCGAACTGTCTTGACAAGTTTCATAGCCGAAAACGCTTGCTCTGTAATTGCAGTAGACACCGGGAGAGTCAAAACAAGATGAATTAACCTGACAAATAAATTAGAACGAATAAATATACTAGAATTTAATTAACAAAAATGATTTATAACAATTTCAGTTGTACAAGTTGTAGATTTTGACTCATTTGTCTCAATCAATCTTCGACATAATTCAGAAATAGTCTATAAGTCTTGAAATATCTCATTAGTAATAACATCAAGCTCATGATGACTCAATTGCAATCTCAAGTGGAGCAAGTCTTGAGCGAGGATAAAAGCGTTCGGCAAGTTAACAAAATAATAATAAATTAATCAAGCATTTGGGTGATATAAGCAAACTAAAAAAATACATAACATACAATATACATACAACATAGCCTTTTAGTCCCAAGCAAACTAAAAAAATAATACAATAAAAAAGCTAATCAAGAATGCATTGTGGGTTTTTGTACACAATCATATTATGAAGGCCAAGCATCCACACCTTTAGAAAATCGAGTACAATGATCAACAAGCATTAACAAGTATAATTATGCTAAAAACATATTCTCTAATTGATATCACCTTTAACACAAATTTTCAAATTGAAACTTTATCAACACCAAAAGTAAGCAAAATCAAATTCTACCATTTTTCCACTCCATCAAAATCAAATCACTGCCCAATAACACCAAAAGGGTTTGTTGAACACTGTTGAGGCTAACACTGGTAAGAAATCACCTCAATCACCTCAATGCCCAATAATCCTCTAGTTTAGCTTCAATAGTGTTTAAGGAAATAATGGTAACCAACTAAGTCCACTTCACACCTTAAAATAATTTTCACTATTTTTACCAGAAATGGGCATTTAGGTTAATGGACACTAGACGCTAGTAACACCAAAAGATAATCAACATGTTCTCAATTAATCAAAAGCATTATTAAATACTGTTGATAACTTAGGCTAGGCGGACAAAAAATAAAGATTTCAAGACATTATAAACCAGTTACCAATCTAATTCTCGACTCTGTCCAATAGGTCACAAGTGGATGTTCAATTTTTTACCAGCGAGGTAAGCGGCCGTGGACCGGGTTCGGCGGTGCGCCGGTGGAGCCGTGGAGTACTGGCGGCGTCGCGGCGAGGAGTGAAGGGGGGGGGCCGAGGTCGTGGGATTGAAGACGAGAAAGACTGAAGCCGAGGCCTTGGCGGTGGGATTGGCGGCGAGGAGGAGTGAAGCCGGCGGGACAATGAAGGTGTGCTCGGTTCGCTTGATTGGGATTGGCAGCGAGGTGGGATTTTTTTTTTAATGGATTGAGAATTGGGATGGATGAGTCATGAGTGGGCAAAAAAAATGAAAGGTATTTGATTTTAATATTCTGGACTTTAATGTTGGACTAACTCAAAATATTTTTGGACTAATGTTAGTTGGACAAATTCAATAAACGGGCTACCATAAAAATACATGGNATTTACCTGGGACTGGAACCCATTCTAGTCTATGGGTGGTTCCGCCCTCAGATTATGTAAAGAATTATGTAGTTGCGCACTGATTAACCGCAAGTTCAGTTGATTTACACTATTCTTGCTATCAATATAAAGATTATTGAGGGAAAAAGAAACGAACATAAAAACGGAGTCTTTTTTTTTTTCTGAATTTAACACCATAATATGACTATCGAGTTGAAGCTGAGAGCACGTATCGTTTAGTAAGTGTTCACGTAAGCCAACGCTAAAGAAAAATGGAGAAAGAAAACCTAACCTGACATGATATGAAGATGATACAAACCCTGTTTGTCAAAATCCGCGATTATTTCATAAGCTCGTTTCTGTTTGTCGGGACAACGTCTCAAAGTGGTGAAGGATATCGATTCCCGATGGATCTTCCGACTTGATTCTCACGTACTCTTCCTCACCGATCATTGTTCTGTACATCGCCGGGAAATTGATAACGGGGACCGTAAGAGTCCCATCAATGTCGAACACCACTCCGTTTAGAACTTCTCCACCCAAAAATTGCAGTAGCGTGCCTCCAACCGATCAGCATAACTGATAGCCTCTTCTCTCTCTCCTCCTTGGATGCAAATTTGCGTCCGGATCCAAGCTTTTTTTTTTGTTTTTGCAATTTAACCCTTTATCTTTTATAAATTTATAAAATGAATTCTATTTAGTTTTTTAATTATAAAATAAAATTTAAAATAATGAGTGTCATATTACTTTATATTTGTCTACAAACATAGTGTAAATGTACATATTAATTTTTTATTTTTCACAATAATAGTGTAAAATACTAAAAAAGTGGCCGAAAAGAACAAAGAAAAAACAAAACTTGGAAGAAGAAAACACAAAAGAAGAAGATGACTGATTAAAAAAAAAATGAAGCAACACGCTTTCTCAGAAAGTTTTTTTTTTAAAAAAAAAAATCACATAAAAAGGGATAAAACTGATCAATAATTGTCATTGATAATGTCAGACATTTCACTAAGGCTCTATTTGTTTTGAGGGATTTATTGATGGATTTGAAATCCATAGATTTCAAATTTACAAATTCAAATGCTCATGTATGTTGGGATGATAATGGAAGTTGGAATATTTCAATTCATGCTAGATGTTTTTTAGTCATTATTTTAAAGGATTTGAAATGACTTCTCAAACCTAATCATTTGAAATCCATTGTTTATCACCGTTGACGACCACGCCGTCCGCGATAATTTAGGCTCATCACCACCGCAAGTCAACACTATCGGTGCGAGCTAGACAATTTATTTATAATATTTTCAATGCATCCATTCAATGAATGTGCAAGTAAAAAAAATTATATTTCAAAAATTTTGAAATCAAGGGATTTCAAATCCCTCAAACCAAACGGAGCCTAAATGTTTACCGTTAGCTGTGGAGGGATAAAACTGACAACAATGGCATAATTAAGGCGAAAATACACAACTATCTTATTATTCTTTAAAAGAAAAAAAACATACCATTAGTGAAAGAGATGAATGAGTATTCCAAAAATGCCAAAAAGACAAAAAGAAATAAAAAATCAG